GATCCCAGGCCTGTGGTCCCAGCCAGGGAAGTTTATGTTGAATGAGACATGTCTTGGGAGGATGAAGAGCTGAGCCCTCTGAGTTGCTAGCTGGCTCTGTCCTGTACCCACCTGTATAGGAACTAGAGCACCTGGCCTGCCTGTCTGCCATCAGCCCCAGCCAGAGGGGCTGGGGAAATCTGAGTGGCCCCCTTACATACCCAGCACACATGCTCAGAGGAGAAAGGCCTCTGTCTGATGCTGGCCAGCCCTGTCCTGAGTACAGCTGCTAAGAATAGCAGGGAATGGGGTGGCAGTAACTAGCAGGGCTCGAGTAGAACAGAGACCAGTGCCCATCTGGACGCAGCCCACAGACTGCTGGCACCTCTCTGCCACCTCTGATCCCAGCACTTTCTCCTTTCAATGGTCTAGAGGGTAGGCTCTGGAAGGGACATAGATGGGCCAAAGCACCAATTCTCTGGCAAAGTAGCTTCAACTGGCTCAGGAACCACATGTTCCCCAGTTGTGAGCTACTACTCAGCTGCCAGAGGTAGAGAGGCGTGAATCCTCTTCCCCATTCCTACTAACCCCCAAGCCAAGGTCAAGTGGCAGCCATGCAGTGGGGTGCCCCACCAGTAGCTTGGAAAGTTCCAGTCAACCTCCTCTCTAAACACCCCAACAGGCCCAGGGATAAAGGCTTCTGTCATGGCAGTGCTTACCGGCCCCCACTTGGGAGGCCTGCTCTAGTTTGCCCGCTCTCAAGAGCAGCTGGGGGCAGCTCAGCCTCAGCGAGTGCCTGCAGCACTGTCCTTTGGCCAACCCAGCACTTGCCTGCCCTTTTTGGATTGCCTACGTCCCAGCCCAGGGCTCTGCATCCACACAAGCACTGACGGATGGCCCTGCCACCTGCTCTCCCTCCTGGCAGCCACAGAAGCAGTGGCAGCAGGACCATTTCTGATATCACATGAGGTAGGGATCAGATGGCCTTGGAAACAGACCAGGAATGGGGCTGGAGTGGAGGTGGGCAGTAGCTCTCCATAAGTAGGAATCCTATGGCCACCACAGACATTTAAATGGAAGACGCAACAGCACTGCCCTTTGTGGCTGCCCAGAGAGCAGAGATTGTGGAAGGCAGGAGAGCCCAGCTGGTAGGAGGGCTGAGAGATAGGGACACCCATGCCTCACTGCAGGAAGGTAGAATCCACGTGACTCTCTGAAGAAGTAATGTAGCAAGAGTCTTAAAAGTGACTGCAGTTCAAATGCTCCAGCCCATGATTCCAACCCTGGGCATCCTCACAGCGGCACTGTTTACAAAAGCAAAAGCCCCTCTAAACCAGGGCAGTGCTAAAGGCTACAACAGACCCCTGGCCCTAAAAGATGCCCACCAAGGTTAATTTGTAATACAGAAAATAAACACTCAGGAGATAATGTTTAATGACAAAGATAGAGTCTAAACTTCTATACACTTTTCGAGGTGTGGGATTGATCCACTATCTCGATGGCAATAATGGTTTAACAGGTTATCTGGATAAAAACTTACTGAATTTTACCCTTCAAATACATGTAGTTCATTATATGTCAATTATTTCTCAATAAAACTTTAAAAAGAACTGAAGGTGACAGAAAACTTTAAAAAAAGTCTATACAGCATAATCCAAACTATACACATCACAAGATAAGAAAAACAGAAAAATTATGTTCAAATGGTCAAGTTAGAACAAGACACACAGACATTTTTTCTTCTTCTAAGTTTCTGCTCAAGTGCACTTGTAACTTTTTTAAGAACAATAATGTACTCAACTTTCAAGGAAAAGGGGCTTGGTAGGGTCTGCACTTTATAGGTTCAGGTGGCAGCTACAGAGGACTGGGGTGGGACAGATGTGCAGGCAGGTGCATGTGGGGACCAGATGCTGATTGTGGAGTAGGAGTGAGGTGCTCTCCTGAGGACTGAATGGGCACCACTTCGCTAACCTCCATGACACCCTCACAAAGAAGGTACTAACACGGCCAGAGGAGATGAAGATGCAGAGTCCAGAAGGCAGACTCTCTGGCCAGAGGTCTCACAGCCAGGAGCAGTAGAGGGAGAACAGAACCCAAGCCGGCCTACCCAGAGGCTCTGGGCTGGTCCTTTGGAGTCAGGGGCTACCCACATGGCCATACCTGCTGGTGGCTGTGGTGGGCGCATGCTCAGGAGAGGAAAAGATGCGGTGCAGGTAGTCATTCAGTAGTTTCTCCTGCACAATACCTGTGCCACAGGGCAGAAGAAGAGAAGGGTCACACAGTCAGTGTAAGCTCCTAGACTGGGCTGGCTCTACAGGCTCCTGGTCCTAGGCCAGCCACAGGGGTCACAAGAGCAGTCATGTTGGGTGCGCTGCTCCATCGCGGCTGATGGAGAAGAGCTGGCTCACAGGTACAAGGGGTGCAGCAAGGTTTGGAGCTCACCAGACCTGGGACTTTATCGCCTTTGTCTTTTCCTTCTCCTTCCCTCAACACAAGGAGCCTCCTCCCAGACACGTCAGCCCTTACCTGTGACCCTGGATTTCTCAGCATCTGATGTCAGCCGATAGCTCTTGCGGGAGAAAGACATGCTGGACCCCTTAGATGCCATCCTTCATTTCTTGTGGGCAGCCAGCGGTCCTGGGGGCTGAGCCGGAGGCAGAGCCTATCTATTTGAGGCCAGCCAAGGGCCCCCATACCCACCTCAGTTCTGGGGCAGCAAGAAAGCTTGGGAGCAGGTGAGACCAAGTACATGCACACTCACACACAAACCAACCCGGGGCAAGAAACCAGGGGTTCCCAGCTTCCTACACAGGGCTCCACCATGTTCCAGTGCTCAGCACAGGGCCCAACGGAGAGCAGTTGCCAGATATAGGTTTGTTAAACCAAACTAAATGTCTCAACCCCAGGAAAATCAGACCAAACTGTCCAAAGTGAGGTGGCCTAGAGACAGAGACCCTGTATCCTTCTCAGTTGTAAGCCACACTAGGTCTAGCTCATTCCCAGCAGAGAGAACCCTACACCACATTCCCCAAGTGTGGTCCATCATCCAAGGGCTTGGGGCCATCTCCACTTACAAGTCCTACTGATACCTAAGGCCAGGATCTTCCCTTCTCTTTTCCAAAGGCCTTGTTCCCACTCACACACACAGCCTCTCATCCATCATCTCAGCTCCATCAGAGCACCACCCAGCTATCATTGCAGACCCTGCTGGTCTTCCCAGTGCTGTCCATCCCTTACATGTCATGGTGTTGCTGCAGCTGCAGACGCACTAAGTCGCTGGTAACTGCCTCACTGATCTACAGCTGTGCCGTCCCCAATACAGTTGCCATTAGCCATATGTGACCATTTAAATTTGAATTAAAACATAAAAATTAAGAATTCAACTTCTCAGTTATATTAAGCACATTTCAAGGATTCAGCAGCCACATATGGTTAGTGGTTACTGCACGAGACACTAAAAACAGAACATTTCCATCATCACAGAAAGTTCTGTTAGCGCTGGTCTACAGCCTGGCCTTCTAGCACTGCCTTAGACTGCACTCCCTTCTCCGCAGCCCAGTTCCTTATCTCACCTCAAACAGGTCCTCCGTTCCCACCACACACCCTTGCCCATTCACAGTCTGCACCACGCCCGCCCCTCGAGAAGGTGACTGTCCCGCCTTGCCGCCTACCACGGGCCCTCCGCTGGCATCCATGACCGCTGCGCCTCTCATACCAGAGTAGGTGCAGGGCAGATTAGACCTGATCACTCATTTGATCAGCAAACCTTCCAGACATCCACTCCGGGTGCCAGGTGCTGAGGACCCAGCTGATAGGCGGACCTTGACTTTGCTCGGGGATTCCCTGCCACGTCGATCCTGTCCAGCCCCGCCGAGGAATCCGGGCTCCGGACCGAACCGACCCCATCTCGGAGCCCAAGGACGCGAAGAGCAGCGCATGTCTCCCCCAAGTCGCCCCCGCCCGGCCCCAAGCTCCGGAGAAACCTTCAGGTCAACTCCAGCCCGGAGTCTCGCATCACAGGCTGTAAGCCCTGAGCTGTGAACACCCTCGCCGGGCCGGCCGCAGGTGCGAGGGAAGCCGCGGGGACCCGCCCGACTCGGAACCCAGCCGCCCCTCACTCACCCCCAGCCTCGGCCGCGGCGCCCCGGCTCACAACATCCGCCCAGCCTCTTGTCTACGGCGCGCCTCCAGGGCCAAACCGCGCGCCTGCCGCGCAGGCGCACCAGTCAGCGCCGGGCGTCCTCGAGGGAGCCCCCTCGCGGCCTCCAGCCGGGTAGTTCAGGGCCTCTGCGTCGCCGGACAGCCCAACCGCCTCTGACCCCCGCCTGCGCAAGAGAAGCACCTAGCCTAGCCGGGTCGGAATGCTATGTACTAACTGGAGCCCCAGGCCGCCTATCCCAACTCCTACCCATACCTGGAGGCCCAGCCCAGAGGTTGCTAGGACATTTGAAAGGCTATCTGCCAAGGTCCCCGCAACCTGTCACCCCCACTTCCATTCAGGCCAGACAGGTCGCCTCACTTACCTTTCCTGGGATGGCACCTGTGGCAAGGCGAGGGGAGCCTCTCTGGGCCCTGCTGCCAGGGGCGTGGGCTGACCTGCCTACAGCTGGGGCAGATAAGACAGCAAAAGGGGAAGGCTGCTTTGAGGCTGGGTCAGGGAACATTTGCCACTTTACGAGGAAAAGCTGAGGCTCAGAAAAGATTAATATCACACCACCCAGGGGCTCCCCAGCCTCTGGCAGCAATTATGTCCACACTAACTTCCCCTTCAGAGCAATGTGAGCTTCAGGGTGTCTCCATCCCTACCCCAGGGCACATCAAGTGTCCCCACTGAAACTTTCCAGCACCTGCCCACTACATAGGCCAGAGTAAGGGGCCTGACATTTCACCCAGGGGGCCTGAGGCCTGGCTCCACCCCCATTCCTGCCACTGGGTCTCAGGTCAGGCTCTAGCAGGCCTGGGGTGGGGGTGTGGAGGCAGAGCCACCCAATCCCGTAGGGACAGGTTTCACAACTTCCCGGATGCGGCTGTGGTGGGTCACAGTGCAGCCTCCAGCCAGGAGAATGGGGTGGTTCCCACTGCTGCTGCTTCTGACACAGTGTTCAAGGGTCCCTGGTGAGTGCCCCGCTCTCTGATCCCCAATTGCCTTCAGGAAGGAGTCAGCCCTAGCTAGGCCCAGCCTGCCATTCAAGCCAGGAGCTCACTTTCCCACTAGGCATGGAGCAATGAGTGCTCTTGGCTTCTTGTGCGGAGCTGGGCAGCCCCTGCCTATTCAGGCCTGAGTTAGAACATCTGTTGTAGCACTGAGGCAGCATTGAAACGGCACAGATGCATGCACACGTGCATTTATCCCTCATGAGCCTGATCTAACCCTCTAACCTAACATATGCCCTAGAGCTGATGAGAGCTCAGACTTGGACTCAGAATGCCTGGGTTGAGTCTTTGCAGGGTAATTTAACAGCTCTGAGCCTTAGCATTCTCATCTGGGAGATGAAATGAGCCCCATAGGGCAGGCACCACCACCCACTGCTCTCATAAAGTGTAGGTTTTAGACCTGAGCCTAGTACTTTGCCCACTGTTGATAACTACCATGTCTGGGCCTGCTTCTCCCACCCTGTACAGGGGTGTGACCTTTGAACGTACCCACAGGGTCCATCCCAGAGGCCTTGTAGCTTTGATCCCCTGAATGAACCAAGCATGGATGTGCTGATATAAATGCATTGACATGCATGCCCATCCCCGCAGGGCAGCGCTCGCCCTTGAATGACTTCCAGGTGCTCCGGGGTACAGAGCTGCAACACCTGCTACATGCAGTGGGGCCTGGGCCTTGGCAAGAACATGTGGCAGATGCTGAGGAGTGTGCAGGGCGTTGCGGGCCCCTACTGGACTGCAGGTGAGTGGCCACAGGACTAGATAAGACTGGGTGGCAGGGGAACCTGGGTGACTCTGTGCCTTGTCCTCCCAGGGCCTTCCACTACAATGTGAGCAGCCACGGCTGCCAACTGCTGCCATGGACCCAATACTCACCCTATACACAGCTGCAACGTTCAGGGCGCTGTGATCTCTTCCAAAAGAAAGGTAAGTGGCTGTGGAGAAGGGTGGGCCATGGATAGGGCTGCTGAGGCCTCAGGACTTACTGACAATGGGTCTCTTGCTCCCAGACTATGTGCGGACCTGCGTCATGGACAATGGGGTCAAGTACCGTGGTACGGTGGCCATCACCACTGGCGGCCTACCCTGCCAGCGCTGGAACCATAGGTTCCCCAATGACCACAAGTAAGACACCTCCCCTCTGTGCTTGCCGGCTGGCTCCTGCCCCCACCCCAACACGCATTGAATTGCTGCTCTCTGCACCAGGTACACGCCCACACTCCGGAACGGCTTGGAGGAGAACTTCTGCCGAAACCCCGACGGGGACCCAGGAGGTCCCTGGTGCTACACGACAGACCCTGCAGTGCGCTTCCAGACCTGTGGCATCAAGTCCTGCCGGGAAGGTAAGCCGCTCTGGGTCCAAACTGGAGTGAGGAACATGCCCACGCCCGTCCACGAACCCACCGGCACTGTCTCTCCAGCCGCTTGCGTTTGGTGCAATGGCGAGGAGTATCGCGGGGCAGTGGACCGCACCGAGTCGGGACGCGAGTGTCAGCGCTGGGACCTGCAGCGGCCACACGCGCACCCCTTTGAGCCCGGCAAGTACGTGTGCGCGGGCTCGGCACCTAGGAGGCCAGGCTAGGGGAGGGGCCAGGACTCCAGGGGCTGGACCAGGTAAATAGCAGGGGACAGGCAGTGCCCGAGTCCCGGGGTTTTGTTCACGCCCTGCTACCACCCTCAGGTTCCTTGACAAAGACCTGGACGACAACTATTGCCGGAATCCGGACGGCTCCGAGCGGCCCTGGTGCTATACCACCGACCCGAAGGTGGAGCGAGAGTTCTGCGACCTCCCTCGCTGCGGTAGGGCACGGGGGTGGGGCCTGGGAGGGCACCCAGGAAACGTGGGGGCGTGGCCTGACTGCGGAAAGAGGAGCGACTGGGCGTGACCCGGAGGTGGACCCACTGGAGTTGGCCTCGGCCTCAGCCCCAGCCCGGGTCTCAGCTCCCGCTCAGGCTCCGACCAGCCTTGGTCCATCCAAGGGTTGGAGGCACAGCCGCGCCACGAGGCCACGACGCTCAGTTGCTTCCGCGGGAAGGGCGAGGGCTACAGGGGCACGGCCAAC